ATGATCAATCCATGATCAACCAATGATCAATCCATGATCAATCAATCAATGATCAATCAATACATGATCAATCCATGATCAATCAATCCATGATCAATCAATCCATGATCAATCAATCAATGTGATCAACCAATCAATCAATGATCAATAAATCGATGATCAATAAATCAATGATCAATAAATCGATGATCAATAAATCGATGATCAATCAATGATCAATCATCCAGATGTCAGTGAGCTCCAGAACCTCATCCTGGACACAAAGCTGGAGCAGCAGCGGGTCAGAACCCCAGGTCTGGCAGGAAGGAGGATCCTCAGGGGTCTCAACAGGGCAGCCATTGCGGACCAGAACCAGTTGAACCGGACCGGTCTGGTTCTGAGAGGAACCACAGAACCTCCGGTTTCTGCGCAGCTGCTGGTGTTGTTTGTAAACAAACCTGTTTGTTTGTTTGTTTACTCAGAAACAGCTGGCTGATCAGTAGACATGCTGCCCGCAGAGCTCGGCCCGGCCCGGCCCGGCTCGCTTTGGGCCCGGTTCTGACACACGGAGGAGGAACTCCTTCCTGACGTTGCACGTTCGTGGTGCGACGTATTGCGTCACTTCCTGTTTTCTCTGCTGGAGCTTGTTGTTTTGTTTTCTGTTTTTATTTACTGCACTTTTTCATTGTAGTGGTCCAACGCCCGCACCACAGCTGTTTTTCACCGTTCAAACGTTACGTAACACTTTTTATCTTTCAACACTTCTCACTTTTACTGGTGCTTTGATGTGCTAGCTCCTGTTAGCTTTTTATTTTTTATTAAACACTCAGAATAGAGAACACTAAAACAAGAGAAAGATGTACAGAAACACTGGTGAGGGTGTCAGAGCTACACTCTACAAGCTGGGGGGGGGGGGGGGGGGGGGAAAAAAAAAAAAAAAAAAAAAAAAAAGGGACACGGTGGGGGGGGGGGGGGCGGAAACAGAAGTGGGCCGCGACCGAAAACGCACAAACGCGGAAAGG